GATCGGATTTGGAATCCGAGGTTGTGGGCCCAAGGCAGATTTTTGGGGTGTCGGTTAGACATGTGGGACCCACGGGACCCAAATAGTGACCTTTTGGACAATGGGTGTCATTGGTCATGATTCGACGTCGACAGCACGTACATAACAGTTTTGAAGTTGGTTGGACGAGATTTGATCGCTTTGGACGCCCGGTTGGTCCAAAGGGCAATTTCGTCATTAGTTGCGAAATCTTGGATTTTGGAGTTTTGTGCTAAGTTGAGCTATGTACTTTGCTTAGGTACTGTTGGAGTTTGAGTTGCTCGTTGAGGTTTGAGATTGAGGATTCGTTAAGTTGTTGAAGACGCAGCTTGGACGAGAGGTGAGTAAAACCATCCGAGTCGTGAGTAAAATCACGAATTATTATATTTATTATAATGCGACCTTGGATAATGTTAATGGCTATAATTAACATGTTGGTTGTGATTTTATAAAATGTTTTAATTGATTTAAAAACACATGAACTTGTTCTTCAATGGTTCATGAGGTAATTGAAATATATTTTGTTTTGCATTAATTATTATTATTGGAGTTTTGGTGTTTAACCATATAACATATGTTGTGGATGTATGGTGGAAATTCATTCGTGAATAACCACATAAATATATATAATAAATATATATTGCTGTGATTGGTGTATTTGGCTATAAAACAATGTTTAATGTGAAATGACATTTTATATTGTCAACACCTATGCCAAAATGTTCCGGCGACGGACCACCCTAAAATCGCCGGTGGTGGTTCGGGTACTATTCCGGCGACGGACCACCCTAAAATCGCCGGTCAAGACCTATGCCAAAATGTTCGTAATACTGAGTAGAACAACTTTAATTCTTACCTCGAGGTCCAATTCGAACCGTAAGTGACTCAAACCGCCGGTTGAAGTTGCTGATTTCACTATTGACGAACCAACTTCGCGGCGTCGCCCAGCCTTCACCGTACCTCCGATGGCTCCGATTCTTCTTGAGTTATGTTCACAAGATAGCAGGCTTCCTATCTGGATTGGGGGTGTCGATCACCTCCACCGTACACCGCCGAAGAAGCCGCCGTAAATCGCCTCTCCGACGAGCTCTCAAACTTCCGGATTCAATTGCAAATTATGAATCCAAACAGTGTCCATCTTAAATTTATAGGCAAAGTCTCTGTTTGCAATTTAGTCCCTGAAACTTCAAACGAGTATAACTTCTTCGTTTCAACTCGGATTCACGAACCGTTTGCGCCTACGCGTTCGTGAGATCAATCTCGATTTTCCAATTCAAAAATCATAATTTTCTCATTTCAATTTCTTATACTTCCTTTGAAAAATCATAAACTTAATCATAAAGGTATTTTGTCCCAAATTGGGATTAAGTCACTTAATTCCAATATTTCCACACCAAACCAAAATCATACAACATCCAAAATAGTCACACGACTTAATAATATTTTCCACAAAAATAATAAAACCAAATATTATTTTTGAGGTCATTACAATATTGAAGTATAATGTTTTGAGGCCATGAAGCAACTGTGAACCTATTTTATATTGCATTGGGTGTTTACAGCCACATATGGATGCAGCTTAGATATAGATTTCAAAATTTATATATAGTTTTGGCACATATCTTTTACTGCTCCTCATCCTCAGCTATTCTTGTAATCAAAAGGATAATAGAGCCGCAACAAAGCTTGTCACCACAATGTGGCACTAAGTTGAAGCTTTAGTTGATAAAAATTGCATGTAGTCTTAACAAAGTTTAATCTTTTCAACTTTTCGCCCAACTTTCCTATCGACTTTCATAATTTTCAAGTTATGAATTATTATGAAACAAGTGGCTTTCAATTTTTTTTTAACTGACATACATTTCTACATATTTAATTTTACTTCCTTCATCAGTTTTGTCGTGCTTCAAGCCCAAATTTGCTATTACTTAAATTATATACTTCTTCGTTTTAATTATAACCAAGTGAAAAAAACAAACCTCTTTTAAAAAAATTGAGTTATTTACACTAACAAACCAAAGGATCCACAAGTGTAGTAGTTTGGAGCAATTGCTCCCTTAGGTAAGGTCCTAGGTTCGAGTCCTAGTATCCATGTAGTGTGTGTGGTTTTTGAAACTTCAGGGGGTTTTGTGAAAAAACTGAAAACCTTAGGGGTTGTTAGTGTAAATAACTCAGAAAAGTTCATATTCACATGATACATACAATTTCTATACACATTCACATGAAAACTAATCCGTTCATTGGTATTGCACCTACATCTAATCCCGTCTTCATTTTGTCACCCGAGTTTCTTGTTTACGTAATTATCAACTTAATTGTATGTTTAAATATGAAAAAAAGGTTAAAATAATATTTTAGTTTTTTTTAGTACAAGCCATAGTCTAAACTAGAGGGGAATAAAGGTTTCACACACACACACACACACTATCACGACACCATGGAATTTCGAACCTAAGACCACTGATTTGCAAATCAATGTCCTTTTCTACTGGGTTAGACCTTGATGGCAAAATAATCTTTTAGTTCTTTTATTTTATAGTAACTAGCCTCTCTGCACGTGCTTCCGCGCCTGCAAGAGGCTTTTTAAAAAAATAAAAAAATAAATTTATTTTAGGATTAAAAAAGATAATGGATAGTTATGCTCCATAAAAATAGGATCCATTATCTGATTTTTCTTTTAATTTTAATTTTTTAAATATGAAAAGTGTGAATTTACCATATTATCCTCATTTAATTAATAATTTTAATTCTTAATGTTTGTATTAACTAAGGGTATTTTCTGGTATTTTGAATGTTTCACCATTCTCTGCCTTTTGCTTTATATATATAGATACAAACGACGGGTGTAGAATGGGGAGCACATCTGCTCTAGCCAACTTGGCTAAACCCATGTATGCAAATAATCTTTTAGTTTAAAAATTCCTATTCACGTGAAGTGTCATTGGAATTAATGTGGCTCTTTATTTTTGTAACCGATGTATTCACGTGAAAGTACTGAAAATTTTGGTTTGTAGTTCAACAAACTTATTCCTAGGTTTTTCCGTCCAAAGATTTTATAAATCTACCATCTTCATCTTTCAAAACACACTAATTAAGTGACGGTTATCAATTTAGAATATGAGAAAATTAGAATTAGGAATTGCCCTGCGCTCTCCTCATTAGCCTTTTGCACTCAAGTTGAGGTAGACTCTAGGGCACATGTGGACCTCGAGATGGCGCCTTCCGAATATTCTCCAAGAAATATATTTTCCGATAGAAATGCGTGGCATGGGAGAAATTGAAGAACCAGAAGTGCTCTTCTAAAACATGGCATCCAAGCCTACGGGGTATATTTCCACCACACTAGCTAATTGCTTTCAATTTTTTAATTAATTTTTTCAAGTGATTAATATTATTCAATTAAAAAAAATCTTATGGTTGATTATTAGATTTGTGCTAACATGACAAAAATGTTAATGTTGTATTCTTCACACCCTCCTCTCTTTCTTGTGCAGGGGAGGGGAAACTTGACCTTGAAAACGGCAATGCATAACAATGAACAAAAAGGGATCAAGTTTTTCTTCAATAGTTGTCCTCGTTTGGAGACTCATCTCATACAATCGAAATAACCCTAAGAGAGGTTGAGATGAAGGCTTTCAAGGGGACACCAAATGAGCTCAACAATTGGATGCAATCAGAAGAGTGGCCAATTTGGAGCGGCCATTTACTCTATGTGATGAGAGAGGCAGCCATGCACCAGCTCAAAGAAAAGAAAAAGAAAAATTATTTGTTCAATTTCTTTCTTTTTGAAAAATTTGGACGGGTTTATATATAGTTATTGTTTTAAAAAAAAATGATGTATCTTAGGTCTCGTTTGGGAGTGATTCTAGATAGATCAATAATCAAGATTCATTGTAAAACAATTGCTGTATTTGGACATTGTATCAATATCCATTGTTAGTGATTTATGAGGACACTACGAGGAGATTATTAGGATCCATTGTAAATCGCTTAGTCTTGCCTGTTAAGATTGTTGAGAGAAAAAAAAAAAAAAAAAAAAAACAAATTTTTT